TATTTGGGACACAAAACTGCACATGGTATTGTAGATGTGGTCTGATGAGCGTTGAGTAGTGGGAGAAGGTCACATCCCTTGACTGACTCTTCATATGGCCCATTGACCCTCTTTGCTGCCAGGCACCCTACTATCTCATGTTCAGCTTGCTGACTGCCTACAAACCCTGCCTCTTTTCAGCAGAGCTGCTCCCCAGCCAGTAAGGCTCCAGCCTGTGTTGTCGCAGGTTGTTCTTTCCTCCTCGGTCCAGGACTTCCAACTTAACACATTGTTGAGTTTTCTGTCAAAGTTCCTGCTGCCCCAGTCCTCCTGCTTACCTGGATGATGGCCCAGCTGTCAAGCATATTGACTGGTCCCCCCATAATTTGGTGTCCTCTGCAAAGCTTATAACCAAGCACTGCATAGCCTTTTCCAGATTGTTGATAGACATGATTAGCAAGGTCCCAGGATAGACTTATGCGGTATCCCACTTATTACCAGCTTCCAGCCAATGTATTACCCATTAACCATTTAAATGGTAACAAGGTGGTTTTGGCTGAAGACAGGAACAGTAATTCTTCTGTAATGATTCTACATGCCATAACATTTTAAAACATTGTAAAGAAGAAGTGAGTGATAGCATTTTGCGCTTAGGCACAAAGTTTACTGTACTGTTAACACTCATTGATTCTCTGGTGTTCAATGAAGGCATTAATGATCAATAAATCACTTCCCTGAGATGTTTCAGCAGTAGCAAGGAAGACCAGAAAATGGCTGCAGTGAGCAAAATAACCCCCTTCCAGTCTCTGGCCAGTGAATGATGCTAATAAGCCTGCACATAAAGATTTGTACAAAATCATCAGGCTTCATAAACCCCAACTTTATGAGTCATATCTAATAGCTGCTGAAGGAAAATCAGCTGAAGTAAGGGAACTCATGACCCGACATTCTAGCCTATCTAACTCACATTTTTTTCTGTGCAGTGTATTGGTACTTCGTCAGGTAAGGACTCAGAAAAAACAACATAAAGAAATGAATAGTTCAAATGTCTGGAGGATGGATCTGTTCCACTGAAGGCCAGATAACATTCCCCAGGCATCAACAGAATTCATTTACCTTAAGTGCAGCTCCAGCTGTGAGTAGAGGAAGTGAACAAATGCCCTTCTTGCCACAACTTCTGCATGGCAGTCGTTGACCGCAAGCCCTTGGTCATTAATGTATTCCCCGTTTATACATTTGGTACCTGATGACAGCACAATAACCTGAGCTTGCCTGATGTCCAAACCTGTAGCAAGAAAAACAAAAGGGTTGTGAAATTGCTGGGGGTGAGTATGATATGATTATTAAAGTTCTCACAGCCCATGCTTTGATGTGGCAGCCCAGACAGCCCTAATGGGATGCTTGTTAAGGTGATGATATGGCCTTTAGAATATGCAGGAATCTCACATCTCTGTGTTATTAGAATAATAAGGGCTCTATTTCAGTCTTGCTGCTAATTCCAAGATAAAAGCTTGCCACAAAGTTTACTTGTTAAATCAATAACTACATCATAGGAGAGCATATGCTGTAGGGAGGTAATAAAGATCTCCTGCAGTGCTGATAAATGGCTGGGTTTTTACGAGCTGTTGAAGACATTTTCTGGTGGGAACACGCACTCCCTGTAATGTTAGATTTCATTGCTGTTGCACTATAAGTACTAAATAAAATGCAAGTAACACTTCTGGAGCTGCTTTTTAAAAATCTCAGAGAAAAAATAGATCTGACATTCAGTCCGGTTGTCTTTTTGTTTCTCCAAGAGCAGCTACATCGGTGCATTTTCCACTGTAGTCTCAGGGATGGAGCATTCATCAGTGAGACCAGCTTTGTTCCTCCATTGCCTCTCCAGATAATGGTGATGGCAATTGAAAGACATGACTTTCTTTGTCCAGATCGACACTTTCTAGGATTAAATCCCGATTTCTTTGGAGTCAGTGTCAAAATGTTTACAGACTTCAACAGGACCTGTATTTCATTCTAAAATGTAGCTCATTCAGCCCTGTGGACAATTTCAAAGAAGAGTTAAGAATGAACTGAGCTCAAACTGAAATAATATATTGAACAGTGTATTTCAGGATGCATCTCTCTGAATACTAAAGAACAAAGGAGCAGCTCTTGGGAAAAAGGACTTTACTGGCTGATGGGTGCTTCCTCTAGATGTGACAAAGTAGCCTAAGAGTGTTGGACTGTGTTTAACAGCTGTACAGAATGACTGTGTGTAGGCAAACACACGTACAGTATAGCAAGTCAGACTTCTGGGGTTGGCATAGTTGTACCTGTGTAGTGTCACCTGAGATGCCCTCGGTGTCCTGCCTAACCTCTGGTTGCTGCTCCAGGGAAGTCGGGGTGTCCAGGAGGTTCTGCACCCTCCCCACACATCTCACATGGAAATCCATAAAGTGATTCAGTGGAAACAGAAGCCCATGTTTAAGCGACTGAATCAAGCCCTTGGAGTCTGACAAGTCAGTAACAAAGACAGGCTTGAGGCTGCAAGTACCCATGGGGTAATGGAAATGATCTCACCATGGACCATGGTGGTGCTGTTTCTATGATGTTACTTCAGCTGTAGAAAAGCTATAGTAATAGTTTTATAGAGTCAGCAATATTATTTTTTTTTCTTATGATGTAGCCTATTGAGTGGAAAAAAACCCAAAATTTAGCACAGATTTTTTGGGTTGGAAGCACTATGGTTGCGGCCGTGTTCTTTCATAACATCCATTGGTAGGATATGAGAAAACAGCTGAATGGAGAAGGAAACTGTATTTTAAACATAAAGGGCTGGTGCTGCCAGTGATGTCCCTTTTAGTAAACAGGACCAATAACAATTCATAAACTCCACACAGCACTGGAGCTAGTGGTGGATGACATGCTATAGCACTGTTGCCATACTTAATGTATACAATAGCAAATGATACCAAAATTATCTCAGCTATCAGTATGATAGTTATATCAGTAATTCAAAAGGTTTACTAGTATTGTGGCATTGCAGCATTGTGACATTTGTAGGAGAGGTATAAGTATTGTGAAAAATTCAGTTAATCACACCTGACACCCTGGTTGTGACAGTTTCATACAGAAGTTGCTATAGGTGCTAATGACAAAATACTCATCACTGTATGCCTGTGCCAGAAGTTTAATCTCTGTTTTTTACTATAAAAATGACCCTAAAAGGTGTTTGAGAGTATTTATTAAAAAAATATAAAGAGCTGGCAATCTAGAAAATATAAGAAGTGAAGATGGGAGCGCACGGTATCATGCAGCGGAGAAATGCAATTACAAAGGGTTTGTGTTTATTCTAGTGTTATTGCTAGACAAAAAGCTGAGGTGGACAACTAGCTCCTTCCCTATGAAGAAAGGAGTTTATACTCTGTGCATTAAAATTGCTTTGATGTCACTTTACTTTAGGGTCACTGCTTTAATGAAAAATAAAATAGATATCTTAGATCACATGTCCAGCTAGTTAGCCGTGTCTTTCACATGGACTAATACCAAACATTTCATGAGGAACTGCCTGCAACAGAGGTGTTTGAGTCCCATGCATCATCTCAAAAAATAGTGTATACTTTCCTGAACAGTATATATTATTTTCCTTGTTTGGAAGGTCCGTGATAAGAATCAGCTATTTTTTTTACTCTGTTTTATTTATTTACCAATGTAGACAGAGTCTTATTTTCCTCAGTGCAGTAGAAGTACACCAGGAGGCAATGCTCTTGTTCAGAAACACATGAGCCTCTCTGCCTGCACCTGAGGACCTCTGTCAATACTCCTTCTCAGGGCAGTGAGACCAACTCCTTCCTTCTCCTTACATTAGCATACCCCTAATGTGCCTCCCCATCTCCTCTTCACCTCGAAGTCAAAGCACCAGGCTCTGCAAATACAGACCAAACCATCTGGGGAAACCATCCTGCTCTCCTGCTCTCCAGGAGCTATATCTTACTCACCCCTCCCAATCAGTCCAGTGCACAGTGTGATACCTTTTATTATTTCAGACATTTTATCCATAAATAAGCTTAACTCTTTCTCTCTTCTAGTATGAGTGTATGATGATAACACATTCAGGATTTTCTGTGAGGTCTGGATTTATTCACAAATGAAACACAAAGGCACCCGACATCTATTGATGCAGCAATAATACGAAACCCTCTGATGTTGTTTACTATCACAATGTCCGCCCACAGAGTAATAGTAAGTGTGCTTGGGCTGTTCATTTTTAGGTGAATTAACTCCATATGTTGGCTTTCAGTGATGGGGCCCCAGTAGGTAGGCACATGTGGACACAGCCTGGGGTGTCTGCCAGTCCTGGCAAGGTGCACATGTTTGGAGAACATCACTTAGATGTTGCCTGGGGCTGGAGGCAATGGTTTCCAAGAATTTGCAGAACCAGTCTGAGTGTTAAACATTAAAAACCTCCATGTATTTTCCATTTGCAATGACAGAAAATAATCTATGTTCCTCCATGTTCAGAAATACCCAAGAGTACGTTTCCTACAACACTCAGAAACACAGGTGTACATGACTTATGCATTATCTCTGAAATATTTACACCTCACTGGGGAGCCGACTGGGGAAACTGATCTGTGACCAATGTAGCACCATTCAGTGCTACAAGCGAGGGCACCCGGCATGATGAGAAATACTTCCAACAACCTGACAGTTGCCCAATGTGTTCAGGAGCATATATGCTAACAGATTGTCCTCTTGCATGCCTTTTTTTTGTACATATGTAGAGTTGGAGGCTTATCCCCTGTGAAGCGCTTGCTAATATTTTCAGTGAACATAGGAGGAATTTGTGTCTGAGAATAAGACATGTGATGCCTAGTTGATGAAGGTAGATTTTAACATTGACTGATCACGTTGGCATTTTAGGCAGCATTTCCAACTCTTGAGCCTAGATACTTGCTTCAGTGATTTGGAATTAATAGGCACTTCTGTACCTTTGTCTGTTTTGCATAAAACCCCTGTCATTACTAACTCTTGTTATTAATGTTTACTTCCTATTTTATTTTGCTGGCAGAATACTTCAAATTTCTCAAGCGATTTCTATTTACGAATGTCAAGCTGCCTCCTAAACATTGATTAATTTAACCTCAGACATGTAGCAGATCTCGACTGAGCAGATCATCAAGTTGTGCCTGGGAAAGCTATAGCGTTTGATGTGGCAAAATCCTAAACTAGCACTAACCTGGCACCACCAGCCATATGCCACCTTCCCTGCTTAGGGCTGTACAGCGGGGCATGATCCTAGACGAGGATTGCTCTTGGCAAGACCCATGCTCTTGCTGAGGGGAGCTAATCTCAGATGAAAAACCCAGGGATCTAACTGTGTCCTCATCATTTGACAAACAGGAAGAAATGGGCTACATTACTATGACCTTAACTCCTGACCCACTGATTGTTGGAGTTCATGAGGCATTTCTTTCGCTCGCTGCCTTCTGCGACGACGTAATGTTTGAGACATTAGGTTAAAAGCAACTAGTGAACGATTTATAACAGACACCTGCATTAGGTTTCTATTATTTGCCTAAAGACTCCTAATAGTTTTCAATTTGAAAAGGAAATGGAGCAGGGGAAAGGAAACTGGGGAGCTGTGTCAGCATGCTGTCTGGGTCCTGGCTAACGCTGTGTTGACAGGGACAGCTGGGGAAGCAGAAAGGGAATTTGCCACATTTTATTTTCAAAAATTCTACCAACTAATTAGTTGCATTATACAATGAAAATGTACCCACATATGACACACTGTCTTCGATCACAGATTCAGTCTAATGATCTAGTGAGGTAATGAGTCTTTCTGGTGCTCTGCTGAAACCCTGAGCCTCGCCCTGGGGTCTAGTAGGGCGGGTCTCCTCTCACAGCCAGGCAGGGGGGATCTCGACCCTGTTAGTGTTCATTTTTTTTGAGTCAGTGATAGTCCAGACTTTCATGCCATAACTGAGCCACTGAAAAGAAAATGGGTTTTATTATAAGCCATTTTCAATTTGCTGACACCAGTGGTGGGATTCGTTTCAGCTATTCTGGATGGCTAGAGTCTAGATGTTTGTAGCTGAGGTAATTCCTGTAGACTCTCTTTATAGCCAAAGCAGAGGAACTTTCCTGGAAGGAGATTCAGCTGGCCTATTTCAGATACTTGCTTTTGGATAGTCTGCATTGCGCCTCAGTATTTCCAGTTTCTCTTCATGAACTCTGCAGACCTGTAGACAGCCAGCAGAAGTATAGCTTTCTACAATGTAGACAGATGTTGTAGCAAGACTT